GTCCAGGAGGAATTCCAAAATGTCCTCCATTTTGAGCATGACTGAGAACCATGGATTTATCTTTCTGTGAGTGTTTATAGTTGGCAATGTCCTCCATTTTTCTTGCATGTGCAACATTTTGCAGTGCCCTGTCCTCCTTTGCAGTGAGGACATCTGGTCACTCTGTGGAGATCAGTTTGCTTCCTTTCGGAATTAACAAAGGTTGAATTCCACCGGTGACCCTAAATCAGATTCTTTTAAAAAACATTTTATTTTCTTTAAAAAAAAAACAGGTACAAAACATGAACAAACATTGACAAAAACAGAAAAATCAATCAAAACATACAAACAAAACATCTGTATACCACAAGAGGTCTTTAAATAAATATATATCTCTTCTTATTCCACTTCTTTTTCATCTTACTTAATATTCCCAACTTCAATTCTTATTCTTTATATCATCAAATCTTCTCTTATCCCAAACCTACAACCAAAATTGAACCCCATTCATTTTTTAAATAGTCAATCAATGGATCCAAATCTGTGTTAAAGCAATCTAATGCTTTCTTTTTTATCAAATGAGTGAATTTGTCTGTCTCCATGAAATCATATAACTTTAGTATCCACTCTTTAATATTTGGACAGTCTTTCTTTTTCCAGTTTTCTGCATACAATATTCTAGTGGCTATCGTCATATAGAGTCATAGAATATAATCATAGAATCATAGAAAATATAAGTTTTCCACACTGTCATTCTAACTCTTCATTTTCCAGCATGTTCAACAAATACAATCTGGGATCTGGGTCTTCTCTAATATTTAAGATTTTCTTTTTAACTTGAATGTGTATCCTTTTCCAAAATTCTTTTGCTCTTTTGCAGGACCACCACATATGATAAAAGGTTCGGATTCTAACCTGGGAGGGAAACATCTGGCAATGGGAACCAGAACATCTGCTTAATTCAGGCTCCGGTGAGGCCCCATCCATCAAGAGAAGGTCATGAAATGAGACTTTGCTATGAAGA